CCTTTTCACTAGCTGCAATGGTGTCTTTCAGGTCAGAAAGTCTATTTTCACTTTCACACAAACGGTTTTGCCAGCTTGTGATTGAGGTTCTAATTTCCTGTATAGCGCTTTGAATCTGCTTCATGCCTGCTATTTCTTTCCCATATGGCTCATTCAAGGATTCCATCATTCTTCTATTCTGCTCTATTTCTTTATCAGTGTCTTCTTTAGGAGCACTTAGTACTTCTTTCATTATAGTGCAAGTACCTACTGTTCAGATTTCTATCCTGCTGGTTTAATTTTTCGTATGTCAGAACCTCATATAAGTAGTCCTCATATGCACAGCCCCTCTACATTTTGCCTGTTGCTTCTGAGATGTTATATTACACATTTTCCTGATAAGATTTATTTCACCTTTTCTCAAAGAAGTAGTGGTAAAAAAAGAAAAATCATTCAGTAGCATCCATAGAATCCAGTCACAGAGAAAATCTATGTGCGCAAAATTAAGTTTGATATTAAAAAAGAAAACGGGCTCTGTGCACGGAGCTTTCTCTGGTACCCTCCGCCCTCCCACCCCAGCAGGTCCCCGACGTCTTCCCTTCGCTCTCTGCTCTCTGAGGTGGCTCCTTTGGCAGCCGTGTGGCCAGGCACAGGAAGGGAAGGCTCTAATCCGCTGCAACCTCCACGAAGAGCACGGCTCAGCAGCTGAGACCAACACAGCGCCCTGCGGCGACGGCCGCCAGTCGGTATCGTGTGGATCGGAACTCGCTCACCCAGCTCAAGAAATACAGAGAGCGCTGTTGGCGAACCGAACTGCTACGTTTAAACCTAAACATCCACATGTGGCTAGTGGCTGCTGTGCTGTATACGAAAGACAGTGTATTTGTTGAATTTAATGGAGCTTTATTAGAAAATAAACTTTTCTGAAGCCATTTTTAACTGGGTAATTTAATGACCTAAATGCCTGCGACAGGCATTCATAAATGCTAAAAATAGATGATGCACACTTTTCCACAAAACGCTGAAGATGGGTCTTGTGAAGGGCTGGATAGCCTATAGGAGCGTGCCGCCCGTGACAGCCTCGCTGAACATGTGTATATGCGCAAGGAGGAGGGTGCGCTCGGGAGGAGGAAGAGGAGGGCAGGCTTGGGAGGAGGAGGGTGGGCTTGGGAGGAGGGGGCGGGCTCGGGAGGAGGAGGGAGACTGCGGAGGGGGGGGGGGGGGGGCAGGCAAGCAGGCTGCTGCTGGCCAGTACCCTGAGGACACTCTCACCTCGCTCAAGCCAGGGAGGAACTGTCAGCACTTTACAGGAGTCTGTAACTCAGAAGCGGGAGACTAACTAGCAGCTGGCTTCATGCAGCCCTCACCAGGACTTCGTAGCCCCATTTCAGGCTTCCCAATGGCAGAGCGAAATTTGGAGCCGCGCCACAGTGAGGTTTGAACCTCACCTCTTCCCTTTGGATCTCGGTGACCTGGAGGAGTGAGTCACCAGACCTCTCCGTACTTCAGTTTAACCAATTGAAAAATAGGAATAATAAACAGGATCTGTATTCCAGTTGCAACACTCTTCTTACAGGAAGACTGAAATTAAATCAGGTGACACCCATGGGTGGCGGGGAGTCACTGCGCCGTGGTAATGCCGCCTGCTGCGTGGTGCTCTGGTGGCTGCGTGGTTTCTTGCCCCCTCCTCCTGCCGTCCTCTGACAGATGGCGAGCAGGAGCCACACTCTAGCCTTGATCCTGGACACAGTAAGGCAGTCAGAGCCCAGAAATGAACGGAGGAGTCCCGCGGCCCCAGGGGAAACAGTCTAAGCTTCTGTGGCTCACGCCCTCCCGCACAGCCCTGAGGCCTGGGCCCAGCCAGCTGCCGCACCTGGCCATGCAGTGTAGATGGTCCCTACCCCTGCTGAACACCTGCATCCTCACCCACAGCTCTCCTGGAAGGGCACCTGGGCAGAGAGGCTGTGTGCCTGCCCTAGCCACACCTCACTGGCTCCAAACTCCTTCCTCTTTGCCAGGCTGCTTTGGAGTAGGCATTGAGGATTCTCCCCCAAACCTGGAGGCCCTGGGCACTTGCAGGGCCAACTCCTCCCTCCCCCTGCGGGCTGGTCTGGCCCAAAGATGGAGGCAAGCTCTGGCCCAGCTCTGGTGTTTTGGCTCCTTTAAGAGGCCGGCACCTCGCCTGCCCCCTCTCTCCACCTCTGTAACATCTGTCAGACTCCACGTGAGGCCTGCAGAGTGTCCGCAAGGTGTGTGCTTCCAGATGCAGCCTGGTCACAGGTGGCTTCGTTTCAGCTTTGCCCTGGGGCTCAGAAGCCATGGGCATCTTCGTGTTAGGTGCAGCTTGGGCGGTCCAGACTCATGTGCAGTGTTTTGCCTAAATGACATAAGGCATCCAGTGACTGGCTAAGATGACACAAAGGCACATCTCCGTGCCATGCTATGCAGTCTCAGGCTGGCTTGGCCTCTCCCCAGAGCCACTGGAGGCTTCTGGGGCAGCTTCTTGGCCCCGCTGGGGAACAGCTCTGCCTGTGCCCCAGGATGGGAACGGCCACGGCTGGCACTGGACTGGCCCTGCCTTTCAGAGGACATGAGGCCTCACCTGCTGAGAAGGAACCCATCCGCTGGGGGACAGTCCTGCTGCTGGCTGCTGGCTGGACAGGACAGTTACCTGTCCCTGGGGCTCTGCATTCACAATCTATCACTAGGTCTTGGGTCTGCTTGGAGCCTGACCCTGGGGCTCTTCCAGTGCTCTGATTGGATGCCTCTGACAACGGGGTGTGGACCG